ATAAATACACGCCACGAACATCTCAGCCATCGACACCATCCAAGACTAAACAGAGACAGGGAATTATGCACTGCATTTGATGATGCGGCGACTCGTCATCGATGCCATGTTTCGTAACAACCATCCGTCTCACACCGATGGCCTACGGTCATGAGTCAAGGCGGAAGCGCCGCCCAGATGTCGCTCGTCAGAATGGCGTCGGCGACTTGCCCGAAAACCGGGTCTTTCATCGGCGGCCTGAGCTCCTGTTCCCAGGTACATGGCTTCTGTGTTGGCTGTACCTGCTGTACATGGCTCGGGGAAGAGAAGAAACAGAACGTCGACAATGTTCATCATGCCATCGTAGCAAAGACGAGAGGAGACCAATCATCGCCTCCGTTCAAGATATTCATGTTGGTGATGCCTGGGGGAGAGGTTACTTGCGTATTGATTTGTCTGTCAGTGATCGGGAGCTTTGTGAGTGCCGCGCGCTGTTGAGTCAGAACACCTTCTATTGTTTACGACGTAAACACCAAAACACAAATGAAACGTCGCGCAGCGGTGGGCAAAGACTCATCGCGAGGACGAAGGGCAAGGGGAGGGGATGGGCGGCAACGACAAGAAACACGTAACGAAATGCGGCGTTACGAATCAGGGTCTATGAATTGCAGAGGGGGGTTGCAAGGCAGAGTGAGCGATGAAAGTACACAAAAACGTCCCAGTTGATGTTGCAGTGGGGGGTCGCGGGAGATCTTGGTACATTATTCAGAATAAAGCAACGACCACAGACACTAGGTGGCATTCGAGAGTTGAGCAAGCAAGTAGGCTCTCTTACCGATCCCCCACTGATTCCGGGGGTTTCGTGCGTACGAGGAGGACCTTCGTCCAAGCTGTCCTCAAGTACACCCTGCGCTATCCAATGGTCATATTGGAGGCGTGTTGCCTCTTCGATGCTGCAAATGTCGAGGGAAAACAGCAACACATGGACGAAGAAGGTGCATATTGTCATGGACAAACAACTGCTGTGTTATGCTGGTGCCGTAGTGTGTGCCGGGCACAACCCATATCTACGTATTCCGACCGATGTGGCATGCAACTCTCACGGTAGTTACGTCTAGCTGGGGACCTGATATTTAGATGATGACGAACACAATTACTTCATGACTTCTGGCAGAATATGGTTTATTAGGTTTTCTTGTTCGTGATGTAAATCAGCGCTCACAGCATTTCTGCCAAGTGCCGTGCGGGAAAAAAAAAAGTTGGTATTGATGACATGCCAAGACATTCAACGGACCATGTTGGAGTTTTCACTTGGTGAAGATTTCAACAAGGGCAGGGGGGTTCACAGTCAGGATTCAGGAACTAGTGTGGAAGTTAGAGGGGACCCGATACAGTCAACTCACTTCTTCGCCGAGACCCTCGTAGCCTTGCCCCTCTTTGAATCGTAGGCCTTATTCCTGTCGAAGATGAAACATTCGACTTTGGGACCAATTGCCGTCCAATCGCGCTCGACAGATTTCGACGCCATTGTCCTAGCAAAGTTGAGAAAGGGATAGGGTAACGCATTTACGGGGGGGGAGCGCGGGAAAAATCGAGGTTGAATTTGATGATACGCAAATACTGTGCTAGGAACGACACTTTGCGCTAGATTTTCTGCTTCGCGAAAAAGTCGTCAAATCAGAAGAACTCCTGTTACGTCCACTTGTATATTTACTTGCAGAATCAGCCCCAACGATGCGTTTCCACGACTAGCAGAGGGGGAAGAAGGGCGGATAGCTGTTACAAGTACGGAGAGCAGGCATGGGGGAGGGGGGGAAGAAGACATGTAGATCGGAGTGGGCGGCAGGCAAGGGAGGTAAAGGGGGGTGGCGCAGCCGTTCCTGCACAACCGCAAAAACGCAGACGGGAAGAGCGACACTACTATCCGGCCTGCCGAAAGCGAGCAGTTCGAAGACATGATGACAGACAGTAATAGAGATGATCAATATTTGCACAGGGTGTGTTTTCCGGTGGGTGGGTCTGGATACCGTGAAAAGTAGATCTTGGTTTACGGGAAGGCGTTTCAAAGCCCTACACTTGCCATAGCGTCTCTTCTGTTTGTCCCCGTAGCGTAATGGACGGGCGTTCGCCTAGGCGATCAATAGCCAATGATGTGGAAGCCCGGGACTTCATCTGTAGAAACATGTTTCAACGTGGCGAAGGAGGTATGTACAGTATTTCAATGGATAGGCGGTTATAATATGCTGCATACAGCACCTGGTTCGCCGGTACACCTGGTTCGCCATTTTTCGTACCTATAGCGTCGGATAGTGCAGGTTACAGCAGCACTGTCGACTAAATCCGTAGTCTAACGTTGCAGCTGGTCTGCTTCTTCTTCAGGGTCAATAACTGCAATATAGCAGTACACTACAAGACGCGTATTTAGCATTTTTGTTAGACGCCTTCATACGTTATATTCGGGTCACCTAAAAGTAAGAATGCCATGACGCGCACGGCGTGCTATCAAGAAGACTCTCGGCAATGTGCCATCAAGAAGACTCACGGCAATCATCCGACTGCATAGTATAGATAGATAGAATATTAAGCAAAAAGTACATTACATGCAATCACAGACAGGCTGCCCAATCGACCCAATGCCTATTTTGGTGAACAGGAAAGGGCGAAAAGATTCGTTTCTATCCGCGACTCTGAAGCGATACCTCACTTTCAGCACAGTAACGTCAGGCACAGAAACCAGGTCGCCGTCAACGTTTGGAACTAACCTCCAGAGAGAGGACAACACAATCCTGCACCGCCCCTTACCCGCTACTCCCCCCTCTACTCTCAACGCGTCTCTCATCTCTCACATTTATGACGCCAAGCACAAAATGTATCTCGTCGGCAGCCCACAGCCTAAATATACACCCTCGGGGCAATTTGTTACTTTTCGGGGAAAAAACAGAACCAACCGTTGTTTTCCAACCGGCACTGCACACACAATTTCGCCGCTTCCGTATGCCGCATCGCATATCCAAAGTAACTACCGTTCGAGAGAATTATTTGCCTCACGGAGACTACAACAGTAATCGTACACACTACAAGTAGACCGGCTCTCGATGATGATGTGGTGCGGTAAAATTTCTGAGGAGTCAGCACCGGTGGACACAGACACGCACGTACATGTAGTGTGCCTGTCCGCCAGTGCCACTCGGTGGTTGCGGGGGATGCGCCCGACGATGTTCCTGTTGCCGAGACCAATCATGAACGGAACTCTACAGTAGACTACATGCAAACAGGAGTTAGAGTTGGAGAGCCTTATCGTAAGGAACAGGCTACAAGCTACATATAGCTTCGGGGAACTTCTCTGAACTTCTTCCAACTCGAATCCAGATGAGCTTACCGTAGGATTGACCCCAGCTGGACCTATCGGCGTGAGGGAATTGAAGGAGGGACGGAGGTAGGTATGTTCTGGGCGAACGAGGGAAAGATCGGCAACACGGGAACTGCGAAGCAATCAGTTCGAGATGTCGGTTATAGACCTAACTTATATATCTGTTTACACGCGGCGGGTGAGAAGTAAGTGGGCAGAGGCACAAGTAAACCAGTCACCCTGTAGTCGTAGACTACTCTGTCTACGAGTTGCAACGTGTAACTCATGCAAACACCGATGTTTTCGGCGCCACTAGCCGGGGTATTGGAAACATCTGTATTATGTTATATGTATCTCGAACGTACGTAGTCTCTCTGTGTATTTATTTTTCCTAACAATTATCTGAATGGGAATACCTCTCCATTGATTGCTACATCAACGAAGTCTGCTCAAGAATCTACGGGTTGTAGACTAGTCTAGTTGTCAAGCTTCGCGGACGTCCTACTATGTCTAATGTCTACATTGTATATCCGATTTAACCTCCTGATAGGACCTGCTTGTTGTATGTCGGCGGGTGACCGGACGTTAAAACCCTAGCAGCCGATCCGTGAAGAGATATGGAACACATGCTTCTTAAGAAGTACATACATACGTATCTGTCATGGTGATGTGCACGGAGCCAATCATTCAGAGGTGTGAGAAAGATAGTTCAAGGCATGAGGGACTCCATTACTCTCAAAGAATCATTAGACTACATACACATGCCCACCCCCACAGGCTCCATGTGTCTGACCGCCGGGTACCCCAAACAGAACCGATGCAATTGCAGTAAACATCCTTTGGACAAACAATATCCACGTTTTGGCATTTGGGTTTATATCTTTCACGGCCTGTCTTGGAAAGCGACTTCCAGCCCTCAACAAGGCTTAACACTCACGCCACTACAGGCACTTGGAAATGAATGAAGCCTTGGGAGTTGGGTTGATTTATGCGGGGGTTGAGGGTTGGATCGGCTGCGGAACCGAGCGTAAAAGATTGGTCTGTTGGAATGTACGAGTTTGATTGAATCTGCGTGTGCTTGTACTGTAATTTTCCAAGTGAATACCCCCCTGCAACGCCGGAGCTGTCGCAGTACACGGTAGCGAAACCCGGTACGGTCATTGTTGCTCTCGTTGAGTTGTTGCCCTGAGCCTGATGCCGTTTGACACACACGTGTTACCAGGAAAGCTACCATGAGAATTGTTGGGACCCTAGAGGGACGAAGACGAGTGTTTTCAACCCTTTAATGACTTCGGAGCACACATGAATTCGCACGAACCAAACCAACGCGCTTGCAGCCAAACCCAAAGTAAAAGAGACCGACACAAACATGCCGGACTGCAAAATAGTCTATTCCAAAGCCCCGAAACTAGAGCCCTCTTTCCCCCCTTGCCCCTCGCCTCTCTCGTATGTATTACTACTGGGGGGTGGGACACGTCACAACCATTGGGAAAAGCACCAACAAAATGGCAAACAAAGCAGGAAATACGTCTCGAGGCGATTTCGCCCCCCTGCCACCCAGCCCCACACCAACAAAACGCACCGTACGTCAATGACGGACGGATAAACAACAATACCCCCGAAACAACAGAGGCGCAAAAAACAAAACAGAGGCCTTGGAAATACTATCTACCTAGGCCGGATCAGACAATGCTAAGTAGCCCGCTCTTGTGGCAGACCAACGCCCGACGACAATCCCGACGACGGTGAAAAACAAGGCTCCCACACCGAGTCCAATCTTGTCCTGCCATGAGACCAAGGTTGTCGGTACGGCGGTGGACTGCGTTCGGTTCGTAGCCTGGGTGGAGCCTGCGGTGGCCGACGACGGCGGCGACGTTTTTGCCGGGGGTTGTGGCGAAGAGGTTTCCTTGTGCTTTTGGTTGGAAACGTTCTCGTTCCCACCGTCAGAGGAGGAGGAGGAGGAGCCTTCCGCCGCCTTGGTTTCGTTCTCGTCGATCTTGGTGGAGTCGTGGCATGTGGACGATGGTGGGTGTAGCAGGTAGGCCATGCGAGAACGGGAAACGATTAAGTCAGGAAGCAGCCGGGACAGCGTTTCAAGTTTGGTCATGTGGTGAGGCTAAGACGAAAGACAAGGAGGTGGGGGGCGCGCAACGTCTGTGACGCCGCCAACACACCGGAGTCAAAGAGAGCAAGCAGACACACAAGTGGTTGCCGTGGAAACCTAGTTTAGATGCAAGAGATGTGCGATAGAAAACTATATGCGGCAGCTGCTGCCACAGCACTTGGTCGCTGCTCGCTCTCCTCAGTGATGGATCGTCAGTACGACAACGCTCAACAAACCTGGCTACCGTAGCAACAAGGAACGGTACGCACCCACTCGTTCAACGGCTCCGCCAAGACATCGGCAGTAATTAATTAAGCTATTGTGTCGGTTGAAATCTGATATTCAATCGGCCCATCTGTATCCAGTGAAAGTCTCAATACATACAGTAGTCCGGTCACCTCCAAGCTGTCGAAAAACCCGACTGCCTCAAGCCAGGACTTCGGGTAGAACATCTTGTTCATCTTCACTATTTCGGCCGTGGGATCCTGGAACGACGCCGACCAGAACCAGACAAACGAAAGGAAACCAAACGACAAAACGAGCAACGATCAAGCACGGGAATTCGCCGACGATTAAACAAAAAAAGAAACGAAAAGAACAACTCTACACGCAGCCAAGTTATCTATTATTTAGCCGCGGTTGTACAGTACCAGTATCTTGTTACGATAAATATTGTACCCTATTTCGCCTCCTCGTTGCCACTGTACTCAGGTGACAGTCGTGCAGCACAACCAAGTCGAGGTACGTTCCTTTTCTTCGCTCGACTCACGCACCTCCATCTGGTAGCCGTCGTGGTACCTAGCCACGAGCGTCTCGAAGAGCGTATGGTAGCTCGACACGGCCGCGATGGCCGACTCATTCGAGTGCTGTGCGAGCATGCTTCGAGCGCCCTTGAGGTCTCCCTGGATCACGAGTTCAGCCGCCGCGTACTCCAGGACCGCCTGTTACGAATGACCAATCAGTATTGCGGTATAGCCAGAACTCAACCGAGCAAAATGGGCTCATACGCTCACACATACCACGAACGCAGGAACACAGAACTTATCATAACAAAGCGAAGGACACTAGAGGTACCTGGTACGTTGTATTACACAAACCAAGAGGTACCCGCTCTTTCCAAGTTTCAGCAAGGGCTACGGACTGCGTTCGCTGCCACGACCAGTAATACAACCAATACTGTCGCAACTTCCATTCCACGCTGGAACGGTTCAGCTGGAACACTTTCGTACATGTTATGTTGAACTGGGAGCCGCGAGGCCCCCAGTCCAACTGCCACTGACGCCGCCACTTAAAGCCCAGACCCCCCATAAAACTCTATAAAATAATTACCACCCACACACAAAATAGACACGTGCATTTCCGGTCACAAGTAGCGCCGTCGATGCCAACCAATAGGACAAACAGGACATTTTTGGTCCAATCCAAGGCTCACGTGCTTGAATTGGTCAGCCCGTTAGCCTGGTCGGTGCTGACAACAAAAACACACACTGCGACTGGCGTCTTTTCATTGGTCAAGCGGTTAGATCGTCGGGTGTTAAAACAACAATTTCAAACACTGAACAAACACAAACACATGTACCTGTCCTGCGAAAAGAGGCTCCTCGAGCTTGGACTGCTGGTCCGCCACGTCTTCGTGGGCGAACATTCGGAAGCGCTCCGCCCAGTTGCCCACGACGCTGAAGGCCCAGTACGAGGCTTCCTTGCTGAACCGCAGGAGAGAACCGATCGTGTACGGCCTGGGAACCTGTGAGAAAAGATAAAGACCCATCGTTCGCAAGCGAGTGAAACCACGGACAGCAGTGACGGTTTTACATTTGGCGATAAACCATGTACCGTGGTTCTTTTTTCTGGGTGTCAAGAACAGGTTTCTGCCGATTGCCTTCCAGTTGGTTGCTTTTCTATTGTCGCTTCTAAGGCCATGCTCGTGCCTATCTATCGGTCTCCCCGTCCCTCTATCTTCCACCACTCATTTTGACAAGGGATGCGATTGAGGTGTCATTTGTCGAGAAGCGGCTGGGATGGACGTACCGCTCATCTTGATGAGTGACTTCGATTGAGCTACGAACCAAATTTCATCAAGATGTTCCAGTTACAATTGAGGAGTCGTTTGCCGAAATATCATTCAAGATTGGTGGGTGAGGTGATAATTCGACTGATACGCCATTCACATCAAGAAAGTGACCTCCTGCGACATGCTGATAAGCCCGTCTGTGTATGATGGTTGGGATCGTACCAAGACTAGGCGTGCCACTATAATGACAAGTGCCATCGATCGATGTGATGTTTTTTTCTCACCTCCTCGGCACCGACGTAGATAGGGATGCAGGTCGACATGCTGGGCTTGTACTGCGAGACCCAGAGCAGCCCTCCGACCTCGTCAGGTAGGAAGGACCTCGACTGCGTCACAGAGCTGTATGAAGTCCTGGAAACACGAAGCAAAACACACACACACACACATACCCGCGAGGAGCCAACGTGTTGAGCGTCGTTGAGGAGACGGCCGGAGCGCTGCTCCCGCTAGCCGGTTCTCAAAAAAGTATTCAAGTCGCATGCACTTTCCAGTCATTTTTGTCATGTGAGTGCCTACCCGTCTCCCAGTAACAGGGTTGCTTTATTTGTGAGTCACAGCAGTTCTCGTTGTTTTTGGCATTTAGTGCTGGTCCTTCCATTGCGCACAAACGCACAAACGCGTTGCGTGCATCAAGAGCACAATCGAAACAGGAAATCACGAACAAAGATGCGGCGCCAGTGCCCAAGGTAGAGCTGTGCGTCTCACTGGTGCGCCGCTTGCTCCACGCAAAGGAAGATCTTACATGCTGTACATAACGTCTATTGTCGTTCGTGTATGCTCCGGTTTTTCACCTGAAAATCGAGATGGACCTCTCGAAGAAGCCTTCCTTGGAGTCTTCCAGCGTGGTACTACCATCTAGCGAAGCCCCCCAATCGTACCGATCCACATCACCGAATGGTCCTGTTTGCAAAAGAAAGAAGGTATGCATAGACAACCACGGAGGGTGGCGGTGCCCCCAAAAACACCCACGGTTAAGAAAATATTACTGGAGATGGTCAGCACACGGCCAAGCAGCATAGCAATCGAAAACAAGGCTGAACATATCAAGAATGCTGGTTCTGGTTTTCGGAAGCGTAACCTCGCTTCTGCAACCAAACCAGGAAAAGGTGAGTCAGCCTCCTGTTGTTTTATGCGCAGAGGGCCTATTGGAAAAACACTTCGATGTCACAAAATAATGGTAGCATTTTTGTGACGACGACCAGCCGTCTTAGTCTCTTCGCGTCTCCACTGTCATCACACTCGTATACGACGCACCATACTCGCCTAGGCAAACAAGATGTTGCAACCAGAGCTACCAGAGTAAAAACCGCTAGGTACACGTGCAAGTGTCATGAAAAGACGGCTAACACCCAGCCCACACCCTTAGGTTCAATCTCCGGAGAAACACTCGCATCGAACGCGCCACGGGTCACACTGGCAGACCGCAACATGTCGTGCAACGCTCTGCTCGTTGAGACAGACCACGCACCCTGATGCGACGCGACGCGACGAAAATTAACGTGGTCTGCGATGCACGAACAGAGTACAAAACGCCGTGTGCGTGATACATACTGTACGTGATGGATTGCGCACGCGATGTCTTTCTCACCTGAAGCAAGGCCAACTCTCAAGTCGAACTCCGTGCCTTCGTAGTGGTCGCGCACGATCCCCCAAACGTCTTGGGTGGTAATGGGATTGTCCGGCCTATTCCCGCGGTGGGGACAAAAAAGTTGTTCACGAGACACGTACGCGTGGTACGGTTTTTTAGCTGAAATGGGGGTGTCAATTAGATCGAATCAATTCGATATCACATGTCATGTCCTTGCGGCATAAAAAACTAGCGAAGTCTTGAGTCTCCCACGCAAACACTTACAAAATTCGACCAGTGCTCCGAAGGTTATCGGATACAATATACGTTCAACACAAACACCGCAAAACACTTCAATCAGGTAAAAGCAACCATGCTCGCCTTGCGGAGAACGGGTGCCCCTGCCCGAACGTGTCCGTGAAGGGAGAGAGGCCCAAGCTAGGAGCGAAGGTGTCCAAGACACGCCTGTCGACGGGGGTGAGGTTGAGGTTATCACGCACCGAGGTTGTGGGCGGAGGTGACGGTAAAGATCGGAGTATCACTTTTGCGGGGTACTTGGTTGACGGCTGATACGCCTAGCCGTGGATGAACGCACGGCTATGTATGCACCTGCCTCCACCCAAGAGGCGCCCAACGTGCAAGGACTGCAGCTACGAACACGTTTTATTATGAATGTGTTTAAGCACAGAATAACGCCGTTTATGTACGCAGTCGCGAAAGGACGCAATAGAACGCATGCCTCGAAAACAACGTGCTAAACACCCAGCGAGGAGCACATGGGTCGGAAGCAAGGAAAATACATGAACTAGAGCACCACAATCTACTTTCCATACAATCAGAACCTAACCATGATGCAAGGAACACCGCAAAGTGCCCTCGCACCGACACATGTCATGAGGAACTCCCTCTCGAAACAGAAATCAATCAATCCAAGAGCGACACCACTCACCAGACGCGGCGCGTGCTATATGCGAAGTGGGGGAAGTCATCCGGTCTGGTGCCGAACGCTTTGACGAAGTGCAGGGGGAACCCCGAGCCTCTCTTGTACCCGCAACCCCCTTTCTCCGCCACCTCAAACAAGTTGTCCGAGAACATGAAGTCGGGGTGAGGGTCCGGGTACACCTGAGGTAGGCGATCAGCGGGCCGAGAGAGACCAAGGAAAAAAAGCCAAAGGATCAGGGAGAGGACTGCCGGGGGGGGGGGGGGGGGGGGAT